CCTCCTTGCCCCACAGTGTCTGAGCTGAGGAGCAGAGGGATTCCTGGTATTCCTCACGTCCTCTCCTCAAAAGGATCTGGGTATGAAGAGTCTCTGGTTCTCCTCACTCTCCAGGCTGGGTGTGAGAGATACTTACAGAAGCTGAATTAGCATCTCCAGAAGAATTTCCTCCACTCTCTGTCCTGTTCTAGAGAGAAAAAAGCAGAAATTAGATGAGGGGTGGAGCAGCTCAGCTTCCTGCCCTGTCCCTTCAGCTCCACTGCTTTCCTTACAGTCTAATCTGACCTGTTGTCATGATTCCACACAATACAGAGCTGTCATTGTCTCTATTGTTCCACCCATGTCCTTGGCTCTATCACTGTCCCTACTTCCTCCCCTTGGTTCTGCTCATCACCTGGCTTCTCAGCCCTCACCTCAGCTGCTCACCTGCATCATGACCTTCTGGATCTCCGACTCAATTCCCTCCAGGGCTTCAGCAGTCATGTGCATGAATCCTGCTCCCAGGAAAATACCGGCAGAAACGCAGCCCAGGAGGCTGAGGATTTGGCGGTGACGACCTAATGAAAAGCAGGAGTTACAAGCAGTTGGCAATGAGGAGATGGACAAAGGTGACTAACAAGCAACAAGGAGCACTCAACATCCACGCATAGGGATGGCAAGAGAATCAGAGCAAGTGTCAGGGTAGGGTGAAGGATTGAAGTCAGGTTATGGGGGCAAAGATACAGAAGGGCTATACCTCTGAATGTCTCAATCTGGAACCATTTGAAGCAGATGGGAATAAGGCCACAGACCAGCGTGAGAACCAGCAGGGCAAATAGGCAGCCAATTTTTACGCCTAGCACTGGTTCCATCCTTTGGGTACAGGATAAGCAGACCTCAGAATGACAAACGGAGTTACAAGCTTTGGAGCAGGTGCCTTAGGTGGTCAAAGCTGTAGTGTCCACTCCTGAGCCTCAGGAAGCTGTTGGATTCTCTGTTTTGTGCTGCCTGATTGCACAGCCTTGCATAGCCGACTGGGGCACAGCCCTAGTTTCCCGCCCTCCCCCTACATGGAGGCCCCTCCCCTGGCTCACACCAAAACCAGAAACTCCAGACTCCCTGCCAGGCACAGCCCTGTGCTGTCTTCTCTTCAGTTCCATGACTAATCCAAGGGCTGTGGACTTAGTTCATGCCTGGGGCTGGTCTAATCCAAAATGGCACAGTCTATGGTGCTACTTCCCAGTATTTTGTGTTGGGGACAATCTGGTCCTGCCTCACTCAGGACATTTGATCTAAGCCTTCCATACCCTCCCCACCCCAATGCAAGTCTTATAGGCTGCTATGCTGATACCTGAACCTTACCCTTTCAGAGGGGATTTGGGGCCACCGGGGTTAAGGAGGTGGGGCTAAGGAGTGGTGCTGCTGCCACTCTGGGAACTAGTGGATGAGGGGACTCCCCTTTCCTGTAACCCCAGAAAAATAGCTCCAGGTATGGAAATGTCTAGTGGGAGTTGAGATTTCTAGTATTACAACACTGAAACTGTTACCACTTCTGACTGTGCCTACTTCCTGATATACGTTGTGGGAGAAGGACTGAGAGTTTTATTACACAGAAAGTTGCTCTAGCTCTGAAACAGCAAGGCCTAGGGGAACACAGAAATGAACCAAGTAAATGAAGGACCCTGCCTGGATATGCTGGGGTTGAGATGGATGATTTGATCCTGAAAGAATCAATTCTTGAAGGACACTCATGAGGCAAACTCTGGGGAGCTGATGAATCCTGAGAGAGCTAAAAGGAAAGGAAGGAGGGAGAGAAACAGAGGCCAGGCAGCTGCTGGTCACCTATCCAGGTGGCCCGTCTAACTACCCTGAGACCTGTTGAGCCAGTTCTCAGAGTGCTGGGGGCGGCGTTCCCCACTACCCCATTACTTCCCTGGGAAGTCCCGGTCTCTGGGAGAAGCAGCAGTATTCTTACAGGAGGGGCTGAGCTTGAGGTTTCTGTGGGGAGACAGGCATTGAATCTCTGAGGACTCACTTTGTTACAGAATAGGCGGTGATGACTAACATTTATACCTTTTAAGAATCACAAGACCCAGTCCCATTCTTTGAAAACTTTTAATTATTAAAACTTCAAACAAATGCAAATATATAGGGGTACCAGCACTCCCATCCTGGATACCAGGTGGCTTTAGCCTGGGCAGGCACGATGCAAGAAACTCGTTACACATCCTTGTTAACTCTCAGGGGGATCTTCCACAGTGGACGGAAGAAGCTCAGACGGCGTGGTCACAGGTAAAAGATCTCCCCAGGAGCTGACGCGGGCACAGCGATACAAATCCCTAGGGAAAAGAGAGATCAATGTGGGGGGTAGGATCCTGCCACCTCCCACTAATAGTGGTCACAGCCTCCGTACCTGCAATGGCGGCGGGCTGTGAGCACAGCATGCTGCATGTGCCCATCTGGACAGCACAGGTGACAGTGCACATGGCGTGGCCGTTTAAGGACAGGCTGAGTGATCCGGGGCCAGCGATTAGCTTCCTCTGGAGACCCCCGGGCAAGGATCACCATCGAGAACTTTTCCTCCTTTGGCTTCTTGCTCTAAGGTAAGGATAGAGGGACTGTTTTGGGGGAAAAAATATGGGAGAAATGTTTACCCCCATTACTGCAACCCTTTTCATATTCTAGGAGGTCATGCACATTCAGGCCCTACAAACGCTCTCGGAATTTTCCAACTCCTCCCACCTGGTTCTTTTTCATCCTGCTTTCCCAAGCTACCTCCTCCCTGCTGCAATATTCCCAGGTACATACCCAGCTGAAGGGGATGGGATGGTAAGCCTGGGAAAAACTACAGGCCAGGGGCTTAGAGGCTGTCAACTGGGGACAAGGAAGTTCATGGGGACACTGTGAACACACATGAAAAATATGAGGTAAGATGAAAGAACCACATATCATAAAACTGGGAAACTAAGGGTGCTAGGGTCAGGAAGGGTTAGGGGTAATGGAGCACGGGAGCACAGGAGCAGGGAGGTAGGGAGAGCAGGGGATCCACTAAGAAGAAATCGGATCGGGACACGAAGCAGTGGAGGGAGGCTTAGCTTTGCCCTCTCACTTGCCCTGGACACAGGTGAGCTCAGCTCTTTGCACGCTGGGAAAGGCAGAAGCAATACTCACCGGGGCAAAGACAAAACCAGGTCGAGGGTCCAGAGGTGACTTCTCCTTTCCCTGAAATCAAAGGAAATTAAAAAATTAAGCTGGGCCTGTAGGGTCTATTCTCATAAGTCAATCTCTGCTCTCAGTCAATTGAGGACTCCTTTAACATCCGATTCTGGTAACTACTAACTATGTTCTTTGAGTTAAGCTGGCTACTTCTCTAATACTCCAAACAAAGAACTTTCTCTTTGCAGCAGGAGAAAGGCAGGAACTTGGCACACAGAATGGTGCTCTTCTTGTCAGCAACCTCCACTCTCAAAAAAATCCATTCCAGGACAATTAAATTTATGATTTTACACTGGCTCATACAGTCCTAGAGATAAGGTTTTTGGCTCCGCCATGTCCTAGGTCAGGGGTCAGCAAACTTTTTTAAAGGCCCAGAGGGTAGGCAAAATCTGTTTCTGTCCCAACCATTCATCTCTGCCATCTGTAGTGTGAAAGCAGCCATACACAACAGACACTCAAATAAGCCTGGCTCATATAAACCCTGGCAGGCAGGATTTGATCCACAGGCCCTACTTTGCTAACCACCACCCTACAGCATAATGACTTTACACGCCTACTCTCCCGAGAGTCACCTACTTTGTACGACAGTCTTTTCAGTTTTCAAGGGAGTACTGGTAATTGGTGACAGATAGGTAGGGGTTGGGGGAAGAGAAGGAGAAAGAACCTTACCTTAAGGACCAGGTCCCTGGCTTCCATGAGAAGGCAGTGCCCAGCTTTTGTTCCATTCTCCACCAAAATCTGTTCACAAAGGGGAAAATGAGCAGAAGCCCCGAATAACATGAAAACACAAATGTCAGTAGCTCTGTAAGAGCATTCACAGATGGAACAGCAGTCCTAACGGAAGTGGCATCATATATAAGATTGGGATGGTGACCCTAAAAGAGGGACAAAGGAATCTATGCAGGAGAAAAATGGTCGAGAATGCAGACAAGCTCCAATGTAGAGAAGGAAAGGAATGAAACCCACGAAGCTGCTTTAAAACTTGAAGGGAAAAGTGGATTTTTACTCACGAGAAAATCACTTGTCTTGCGCCACAAGGTTTGGACTATCTCAGCGCGGTCAGCCTTGCTGGGCAGTTCACTTAGGGAAAAGGCTGATACCACCACATTGAACTGTACCTGAGGACCAAGACAAAGAACATGACAGACCTGCCATCTCCCCCTTCCCAGAGCACAATAAAGTTCTATCTCCCTAAATGTCTCCTGCTGTCTTTTATCTTCTAACACTCAATGCTGGATTGCAATGCTGAGGCCACGCAGTTTTCCACCTGCCAAATTCCACATTTAGCATACTCTACATATTGCCACTTGCCTTAGGTGATACAGGTAGAAACTGTCTGAAAAAGACACCTGGAATGTACAGCTTCCCATTTTCTGAACCACCTGTAAAGACAAGCAGAGGTGTGGCAACTATGAGTGGATAGCACTGATTTTTTAAGTGGTGTGCAGCAAGAATGTTTAAAACATGTAATACCTGACTGTTCAGTGAGGGGCACCGATCTCTTTTCCCTTAGATTGTCAAATAAAAAAATGACAGCCAAAACAATAGCCATCTGGTGTGAATGAATCAAAATGATACCGATTTTTTGTCAGATGGGCAAAAAATATATTTTTGGTGTGTTGCTGAATTCTAATAACTAGCTTATGTTGGCCATGAGATGAAAAAAGTTAAAAATTGCCAGTGTATAAATATAAATTGAAGTGATATCCTGGTAAGAAATATGGCCCTGAGAATAAAGAAAAATGCTAGGTGAGAGTGAGATGCATAGGGTAAGCAAATATTAAAAAGGACAGGGAGAATATTGGGAAACCCAATCCACTCACAGTCCAGCAAAGCCTCCTCCCTACCGCCCCCCCCACTTGACCATAAAATTGGAAGGAGACCAAACTCATCTTTAACTTTTAGCTCTCTCCCTTACTCCAGAATAAAACACTCTCTCCAGTATTCCTTTGCTTTCTTAACTCCTTCAACTTTGGAAAAGTCCTTCCTTATAGCTTGTCCTCACCTTTCAGTAACTTTTCTGCCAAATCCAACATGGCAGCTGAACTGTCCACACACATATATTCACGTAGGCTCTGACCCCAAATACTATGAGCAGCCCTAAGATGACAAAATATAAATCACCAGTTCTCATGACAAAGAATCATTCCTACAAGAGAACCCTCTATCCTGAACCCGACCCCTGGGGAAACAGAATGCTATGTTAAAATGTTGGATAAACTAACTATGTTATTTTCTTATTTACAGCTCCTTAAAAAAACAAACAAACAAACGCAGACTCAAGAAAACTATTGTAGGCAAAATAATTTTGATGATACGTAAAACTTAGGCCCTACACTAAATTCCTTTATCTTTGTAAATGTGGGTCTTTTATCACTTAACATTTAAGTTCTGGCTCTAATCCATCTATCTTCTCATGCCTTGCCCATTCTGAGGGAAGAAACATTTGAATTCCCAACTTTCCTATTCTTCCTCTGGTTCCCTAGTCTCTTGATATTGGTGTTGTGTAAGCATGGCTCTCTAGAGCTAGAACGGACAGAGACAGAGAAAGATACTCACCAGGTGACAGAACCAGTACCTGACCCAAAGTCCATCAGGGTTTTTGGTTGGAACTCTGGAAGTTGAGTCTGGATCTAAAGAAATATACAACACCCCACAGTAGGGTAAGTAGACGCTTTTTAGGGCCTTGGCAAAATGAATTAGGAGACTAAGACAGAGGGTATGAGAGGGTGACTGTATTTTGAGATTTAATATAAATACTTTACATAACAGGAAGCTCCTAAAACACTGAATCTAAACCTTTCTGGGTCACAATATTCTTCCAGAGGATAAGAAGAGCCTCTTAAAAAAATGCACATGAAACGTCCCAAGAATCCTATCCCAGAAGACTACTTTATGAATAAGGGAACTGACGGTAAAAGGGTTCAGGTTGGAAGTTGCAGGATCTTCACCTCATGGAATGCCCTGGAGACTGCCGCAAAGCCACCATCCAGTCTTGCGGCCATATACACCAAGCTCAGTCCCTCATTGTAGCTGCCAGAAAAAATCAGAGTCATTTCTACTGGGAAGTTCCCATTTCTATGGGAACCTCTATCCCATAGGTACCTCTAGATTTTTAGGAAATGAAATTTTTGGAATGGGCTCTTCCAGGTCAGCAATTTCAGTGTGCAACACAGAAGAGTCCAGAGGAGCCTGACAAACCAGATTGCTTTTTTTTTTTTAAAATATATTTTATTGACTTTTTACAGAGAGGAAGGGAGAGGGATAGAGAGCCAGAAACATCGATGAGAGAGAAACATCGATCAGCTGCCTCCTGCACACTCCCCACTGGGGATGTGCCCGCAACGAAGGCACATGCCCTTGGCTGGAATCGAACCTGGGACCCTTCAGTCCGCAGGCCGACGCTCTACCCACTGAGCCAAACCAGTTAGGACCCAGATTGCTTTTTGAAACATCAAACTATGTAATTGTGCTCATCCAACTCTCCTTCAAAAGTCAAACTTCTCTCCCTTCTGCAGCCCCTCCAGTCCCCCTTACCTCAGTTCTTGCCAATGGTAGGTAGTTTTACGCAGGGCATGCAGCACTGCTCCACGAAGTTTCTCCTCTGTCTGAAATGAGTCTGGGGTGAGAACAAGGAAGAATAGGGCTCAAATCTAGTATCTGAATATAATGCCTACCCAATCCTCCCCAACTCCCACCTGGGAAAAGCCTTGAAGCTTAAAAGAGAAGCCAAACCTAGAGAAAATTTCAGGTAAGAACAACAACGATCTCCATCTATAGCACCAGTGTATCAGATAGATTTGTCTCTAATAGCAGGTTATTTAAATTGATCCATCCCATCCCACAGGTGTTTTTCTATATTGAAGGGAAATGTGGTAAAGATGTAAAGGAGCCCTGGACGGGTGGCTCAGTTGGTTGGAGTATCAGCCTGTACACCAGCGGTTCTCAACCTGTGGGTCGCGACCCCTTTGAAGGTCGAACGACCCTTTCACAGGGGTCGCCTAAGACCATCAGAAAACACATATATAATTACATATTGTTTTTGTGATTAATCACTATGCTTTAATGATGTTCAATTTGTAACAATGAAAATACATCCTGCATATCAGATATTTACATTATGATTCATAACAGTAGCAAAATTACAGTTATGAAGTAACAATGAGAATAACTTTATGGTTGGGGTCACCACAACAGGAGGAACTGTATTAAAGGGTCGCGGCATTAGGAAGGTTGAGAACCACTGCTGTACACCAAAAAGGTTGTGGGTACAATTCCGAGTCAGGTGTGTATGGGAGGCAATCGACTGATGTTTCTCTCTCCCTCCTTCTCTCTCTGAAATCAATAGACATATCTTCTGGTGAGGATAAAAAAAAGTTACAGGATAAGGACAATATCTTGTGGATTTCCTCACGTCCTCAAAACTTAAGATTGTGACGTCTCCACTGTTCCTACAGGGAGGAACGGGACTTGGAAATCTTAAGTCTCCAAACTGTGTGTTCAGGTCAGTACTATTTTATTTACTGAGCGCCTATCATGAGCCAGGTACCGTGGGAAGTACAGGGAATACAAGATGTATAAAAGACAGGTCTGTAATATGAAGGAGCTCACAATCATGAAAATGACAATGCATTATATTTATTCTTCTATCCCTGAAGACTTCAGCACTAGATAAGGAGTCATCCAGGGGCTTTATTTCAGAATAAAAACTTAGTCCTAATCCAGTGGATTTGGAGGGGAAAAAAACAAAGCACTCTTTGACCTTCACCAAAGCCCCAAGGGCAATCTCTGAAATAATCTATCTTCTCTTACTAAGGCATCATTGTAATAACTGTCCTGTCCAGAAAGTCAAACAAGAAACTGCAATACCTATTTGAGAGACTAAAATAATTTCTTGGTCTTTATGTCTCACTATGTCGATTTGAACTACTCTTTGCTGATTCTTAAACCCTACCAGAGTTTTCCAGGAATTTTTTCTCAAGATGTTCTGCCCGTCTTTGCAGCTCCCCTGGCTCTACAGGTAAATGCCGGCTCCAGAGATAATTGGTCAATGCTTGCACCTGCTTCTCCACATTGGGCATCGCACTGTCTGTGGTGCAAGGAGGAAAAGCGGCATCAGGTGTACGAAGGCCCCGGCTCCGCTCCTTCTCGCGCTCCCTTCGCCCACCGCCACTCACCGAGCAGCAGTAACTGCGCGGCGTCAGCCAGCGCTCGAGGCAGCCGCACACACGGCAGCTTCAGGATGCCCGGGTGCCGGCGATGGGGCCTCTTCCCCAGAAAACCGGACTTGTTATCCACCTGGGATACACCGGGCACCAGGGCGGCGAGAGCCTGCAGGCCGGGAAAGAAAAGCAGCTCGCGGGGCAGCGGGGAAGGCCGCGGGCGCTCGCTCAGGGAGGGGCCGCTCGGGGCCGGGCTGTTCCCCAGACCCAGAGCCTCGCCGAGAGCAGGGACGGCGGCCACTCACCCGGGACAGGGGAGCTACTCCCACGCCGCGGCGCCATCTGCCTAGTGTCAACAGACAACTCGGGCCTCTCACAGTCGCCATGACTCCGGATGCGACCCGGAAACGGAAATGTGGTTGCCTGTGACCTTGAGTCTTGCCGCCGCGAACGTCCCAGCGGAACGTCGGCACGGGAGGCATCAGCCAATGAGGAGAGCGAGTGGTTGCTAATAGCCAATAAACCGCTCGGTAGGTGGGTGGGACTTGGGCCTCGGTTTCTAGGTAACCAGCGTGAAGCGGCGAGGTCTGGGTTGGGACTGGTCTCCGGGTTCTGAAATCCCCGGAGGCGGGCCGGTCCCCTGGGTCGGCAGGGACGCGTGGCAGACCGGCAGGCTGTTTTCTCCCTGAGTTAACTGCCTGCGTTCCTTGATTTTTTTTTTTTCGGGAGAACTCTGAAATCATGTTCCTCTTACCCTCCATACTTCCGAGAGAATGCAGTAACGGTAAAATGAGTTAGAAGCCAGATTTAGGCGACTAAAGAGAACAACAATGGATAGTTAATAAATTTGTGGGTTTTTTTTTTTTTTTTTTTGGTTTCTCTTCATATTAAACCAGGCCCCTTAGGTAAATAGCTAACACAGAGATCATTATGTGCCAGATACGGTGGTAAGCACTTTCACGTAATATTACCTCATTTAGTCCCCACAATCCTACGAGATAGATTGTGTTTTTAACCCCATTTGTAGCTGAGGAAAGCTGAGGCTTCAAGGGGTTAAATTCCACACCCGTGATCACTTAGCCTGTTTGGGGACAATGACTTTTAAACCTAGGCAGTCTGAGTCTGAGCTTCACTTCTAAACAGATGTCCCACCACCTTGTTGGTATTTGGAATGCAAGTTAGCAAATTAACTAAGAACAATATGGTAAATGTTCTGAACTGTTAAATTAGCATGCAGATGTATATCTTTTCTAAAAATATATTTTTATTGATTTCAGAGAGGGAGAGGGAGGGAGAGAGAGATAGCAGCATCAATGATGGGAAACAATCATTGATCCACTGTCTTCTGCACACCCCCAACTGGGGATTGAGCCTGCAACCCAGACTTATGCCCTGAGGGGGAATCCGAGTCCGTAGGTCAATGCTCAACCACTGAGCCATGCCGGCAACTATGGTATATCTTAATCTGGTGACTGGATGGGTAATAATATTGCCTTTGCTCTGTGGATCCTGAGAAAGGCGGTATATATTTAGGAAGGGCTCCCAGTGGCTAACTGGGCTCAAACTTAAAAAAAAAAGAGCCTAGCAGCCATTACTATTCAGGGGCTTCTCCTGCAAACTGCACTTCATGGAGAAGCCTGTACCGAGTGTCTGCCTGCATTGTGTTCTTGCCATCGGAGCCAGCGCTTAAAAAAGGAGCTCCTGACAAAATAAACGGATGAACAAAATAGATTCAGAGACACAGAATCATGGAACAGACTGATGAATTTCAGAGGGAACTTATTAATTGGGGAACTTATATGCATAGTCCATAGACACAGAAAATAGTGTGGTGAAGGCTTGGAAGGGGCTGGTATATGGAGGAGGGAGTCAATGGGGAAAACAACAATAACAACAACAACAACAACAGCAACAACAAAACAGGAGATATCTGCAATACTTTCAACAATAAAGATAAGTTTTAAAAAAGGAGTTCCTGGACTCCTATTTCAACCAATAGGACTGAGGCTTTCCCCATCCAATTGGACCTGCACAGCTATATCAGTATCATCTTCTTCACCGACTAATCAAAGTGGCTCCATTCTGACCAATCGGGACAGTGCCTTTTGGACCAAACTGTGAGGATTTGGAGTCCTCTTTTGCATGAGGAGGAACTAATCAAGAATCAGAGGTTGGGTATTCCTGTCTATATCAGTCAGCTCCACTCTTCCCTTCCAATGGGGCCTGCAACAACATTTTTGTACTGGAGGGCCCTACTTAATGAGTCAGCTAGACTGTCATCTCTGAAATCTGACAGGGTATGGAAAATAAACTATTTTAATAAAATAGGTAAAGAAAACTTCTGGAATAACATTTTGTGTTATGCTTACCTTGAGAAAAGTTTTAGAAAGATAAAGTTTTAAGTAGGGGAAGTCAAGGAAGCACATCATAAGTCGGGTTGTTATTGATTCATCCTGCACTTTCAGTTTTCCATCTGTAAAATACCAGGAGCCAGTTAGGCTGGCCCAGATATCCTTCAGTGGGTTGATAAATAAGGATCTTTGATTAGAGAAGCATGCATCTTTGTTTTGCTATATGTTGGTAGCATTCTGAATTGAAACAGAACAATTAGTTTTTTTTTTTTAAATTGCCCACTAGAGGCAACTAGCCTGAGAGCTTGGCCACCTTGTGCCCTGGCCATCCTTGGAAGGTGGAGGGTATCAGAAACTACAAACAAGAATTTTAATGAGAACAAGTCCCTACCATGGTCATCACATGCACTTCAAAAAGTTCATCAGAAAAGACCACCACCACTGAGGAAAAAATTCCAAATGCAGTTATCATCTCTCAGTCTGTTAGAGGGAAAATATCTAAAATAGCAATAAGAGAAAGGTTAAATAAGTGATGGCACATCTCTAGGATGGAAAACTGTGTTGCCATTATATTACATTCTGAAAGTTTATGGGAATGGGAAAACATTCCCTTTATATTGTCAAGCAATATAACCAGAAAAAGTACTCATAGGATATTTGTAAATATGAAGAGATTTTCTCTTTGGTTGCTGAGATTACAGTTTTTTGTGTGTGTCAGTTTCCTGGTTTTCTAACATTTTCATATTGAACACGTGTTACTTATCTTATAAAAAAATAAAAATGTTATTTAATATATTGACTCTAAATTAGACTTTCTGAGGTCCTTCCCAGACCACAAGACCCTTCTCCTTGGTGCACACTAGCCTAGAGTTCTTCCTCCAGGTAGATGATACTCATAGAGGAATGTTTGGGACACTAGGGTTTGCTCAGAGAATTCTTGAATGCTTTATATGGGGTCATTCTATTTCTTTCCCCCAAGAAACTATCAACAAAAATGCTTCACCCTCTGTAATACTGAAAATTTCTCTGTGTCATTCAGAAGGCTGGTTGGTAACACATACCATCCAGGGAACCTCTACTTTTGCTACAAGAATATTTTTCTCCAAGATGAATCATAGTTGACTGTAGGGAGCAGCTCCAGGGTCAAGCCTCAGGCTGACCTATGGCAAGGCCAGAAAAAAGGCCCAGCCTGGGGGGCAGAGCTCTCCTAGCATAATTAAGCCTGACCTTGTATCCCTCCCTAATTCCTTCCTAAGTAGCTAATGGGCTGTGGGAGGTGCAGCAAGTGTTGCCAAAACAAGAATATTTGTATACATGTTAATCTACCCTTGTTTTAATCAGATTATAAAATAAGCATTGGCTTTCAGGCTGGGTCTTTTGTGTCCTCATCCAGGCATGGGAGATCCACAGAACCCCAGCTGTATTCTCTTGTCTGTCTTTTCTTCAATCCTTCACCACCCCTCTTCAGGTTCACTCTTGGCCGTGCTGGAGCAGCACATGTGGTGCCCAACGTGGGACCTGAGTACGGGGGAACTACAATTGCAAGGTGAAAGGAAGCTCCAATGAAGCATGTGCAGAAAGCAAAAAGTAAGGAAAGGAGCGAAGTTTAGTAGCAGCTTGGTGTAAAACATAGGAAATTAAGATTGTCCAAATCTGAGGACTATAAAGAAAAACCAGACCTTCCAGAAGGAAATCCAGCAGCACTAGCCTCACATTGACAACATGTTCGCATCGAAGGCATCTTTGCGAGGAGCCAGAGCATCGTCACCGACAGCAGCAGCCTGAATTCCGAGACCATCCCACATAGGCTCGCTGACCTGCAGCAGCTGTGGGGCCTCCTCATCGAGGAGATGGAGAAGTGGCACTGGCGGCTGGAGGAGCTACAGGGGACTTAGAGCAGCTTCTTGTCCCTTCGTTCAAAAGATGGAGAGTTGTCCCAATGATAGTGATGCAGAAAAAGACAATGAAGGCTACGCAAGGGACTAAGGTGCTGACTAGCTTTGGCCGAGCTGCCAAATCTGAGGACTCTGAGTAAATAACTTTCCTTTTGTAGCTGAAAATGTTAACATTCTGTTGTTTGATTTCTCTTTTATTGCTGTGTTGCTTTAGCATTGTTTTGTTATTGTTTTAATAGCCAGAGTTAGGTTCAAGTTTAGTTTTATTGTAATAGCTTAAAAACAAAAAAGGGGGAAGATGTAGGGAGCAGCTCTAGGGTTGAGGCTCAGGCTGACCTGTGGCAGGGCCAGAAACAAGTCCCAGCCTGGCAGGCAGAGCTCTCCTAGCATAATTAAGCCTGACCTTGTATCCCTCCCTAATTCCTTCCTAAGTAGCTAATGGGCTGTGGGAGGTGCAGCAAGTGTTGCCCAAACAAGAACATTTGTATACATGTTAATCTACCCTTATTTTAATCAGACTATAAAATAAAGCATCAACTTGTAGGCTGGGTATTTTGTGTTCTTATCCAGGCATGGGAGATCCACTGAGTCCCAGCTGTATTCTCTTGTCTGTCTTTTCTTCAATCTTTCACTGGCCCTCCTCAGGTTCACCCTTGGCCATGCTGGCTCAGCACAGTTGATTTCTCCCATGTCTCCTGTTATTCTTTCTCATGAAGGCAAAGCTTGGTGCCAACAAGAAAATATGAGCTTAGTATGAGGAGAGATAGAATATTAGTAAAAGCCCTGATTTTTAAACCGTGACAAAACATGAGGAAAAGGCAAAGACCTCCAACCAGCATTAACTTTGACTGGCAATGGTTGCTGCTGTGCGTTATGGATGGGAAGGCTGGTTTTCTCAGCACATTCACTTGTACAGATAACACTGTTATGTTAGCATGGTAATCTTCAGAAGAGGGAAAAAAACCCCACCTCATTTCTGTGTACATATGTGAGTGTGTATACCTGTTATGGGGGTGGTGTGTGAAATGGGCGATGATGTGTATCTTTTGCCTATAGATGTCCTGGCATAAGAAGCCCAAGAGTTAGGAAGAGGGAGAGTTGCTCTCTGTGGGAACAAAGGGGAGAGGTTTGCTGTCCTTGATTGACCTCTCTACTTTGTTGGTCCTGGACATTCTAG